GTCTTTTGAAATTTTAGAAGATGGATTTTTTTAAACTCTGAGCAAAAATTCTAAAAGCAAACAACTTTTTGGATCTATGGTGTTTTTCAAAAGAGAAACATTTTTTGAAACTATGATCCAAATTTGGAAACCCAAAACATTTTTTAAAAATCTGTGAACATTTTTGGAAATCACTTTTCTGCATTTTGAGAAACACAAACAATATTTGTGAAACAGACAAATTTTCAAATTCTGAACAATTGTTTAGAACCACGAATTTCTGAAAAAAAAAGAATGGAAAACCAAAAAAACGTTATTGTTTTAATTTTTGAAACATGGAAAGGAAAGAAAAACCAGTGAATATAGAAAACCAAAAATAAAAAAAATCCAGAAAATCCGTGAAGCAAGCAAACAAACAAATGGATCCTATTACTTTGGGCTGGGCCATCTGCGGTTTGCTCGCTGCTCGCCCGTGAGAATCAGCGTCATTGAGATTTCCAGACAGAAAAGTAGGCCACTATATGGCCTGAGACTTATGCCGCCGAAAGCATCTCGTGCTTATCTTTTGGCCCGCTAGATCGCATTTCCATCACAGTTGGAGAACTGAACTTTTGTCTCCTCACTAAAAAACTGCCTAGCTTAGAAAAAACTGTCCATTTTCCCCAAAATGCATACTCCCTCCTTTCATCTAAATAGGGTCTAATGCGTTTTTCGAGGCTAACTTTGACCAAATATTAAATCAATAATATATCTATACCAATATAGAATGACCCAAAGAAACAGATCCAACTGATCTCGGCCATCCATTTGCATTCATCCAACAGTTGTTATTGTCCTAATGGTGAGTGACTAAACGCATTTAGCGCTAAACACAACTTTCTCTTATGTGATCACCTTTCTTTGGCATGAAAGGAAAGAAACTGTCCACGATCAGTCAAGAAAGAAAAGAAAGGAAAGTACTTTCTCTTCCGTGATCACATTCCTTTGGCACGAAAGGAAATAAACTGCCCACGTCAATCAAGAAAGAAAGAAAGGAAGGAAAGTAACCGCTACATCATCGCATAGCCCCCAATCGCCTCCGGCCGCCGCACCTTCACGACACCTCCCCCATCACCTCGAGCCGCCGCACCTTGAAGGACGCCACCCCTCCCATCTTTGTGTTGCCCCAACCCATCGCCTCGCCTTGCCTCAGCCGTCGGTGGCGCCGCCTCCCTACACCGCTTTGCCGGTCGTTGGCGGCTACGCCTGCTCCTACACCACCTGGCTTGGCTGCCAGGGACGGCACATCCTCCTACAGCCAGCCGTCTGGAAGCCGCCTCCTACACCGCCTAGCAGGTCGTCGGGGACGCCTCATGTTCCTCGGTGTTCCTCACCGTCCATCCGGGCGGCTCCGCGGACAACTGCCTCACTAGCTTCGCATCCTGGACATCCTCCAACCGGATCCTTTCGGCTCTCACTCTATCTGTCATGTTTGGTGCCCTTTTGTGGTCGACATCGAGCAGGTGCCGGCCGACGCTGCCCCCGGGTTCTCAGCTTCCACGGGGTGCATCCACCTGGCCAGGCACCAACCCAGGCTCAAGCGACGACCATGGCCATTGGATCTATCATTGCGTTAAGTTTGGCCAGTTACATGCCCTTGACACACACCAGTCGTCAGGTGTCATATTGATTTGATGTCTTTCTCTATTCCATTGTGTTTATCAGAATCTGATTAGACTTGCGTTTTCAGCTAATTAGCAATTTCAAATGTGTAGACGTCTACCTATGCATTTGTTCTCACCAAGATGAAGGGAACTGCATAGTATTGTCCATATGAAAATCCCAAGTCAACGTGATTAATCAAGTGCATTCACAAGCAGTCTGGTATAAAACTGAACTTCCTGTTATCATGTAGATGCTTATATTTCATTTTGCCTTACTATAAAGGTGCATACTGATGATCTTATAGATGTTGTTACTTATATGAAAGGGCACAAAAGTAGCGTAGATAGTAGTACTGCAAATTTTGGAGTGGTTGCTATGCTGAAGCTAATATTCTGAACCTGAGGTCATAAGATGTAGGATCTTTGCTGGTTGCAACAAGCCCCATTTGAGAGGTCCATCATATTGGTGAAGGAAAATTGATAGCTCATTGCTCAGGTCTTATCCTTTTTAGAAGATAGTCAGCGATGTTAGTACAATAAATTCAGAGATGGCATATTTATCGTATGTAACTTATGGTAATCTAGAAAAAAAATATCATGACAACTAGCCATTGGTAAGTCTATGTGCTCTACTTTTTTCCTTCTACTAGACATCAAGATCAGTAAAATATTTTCATGCTTCTCCAATCATACTACAGTTACTAAAAGATTAAGTCGACAGTATTTCTTTCACTTTTGTGTATAATCCATTGTGCACACAATAGTGGGTCGGATGATTGATTTCATTGGAATTTGCGTGTACTTAAGTCATGGCTTATGCAAATTTAATTTACAGCTTTATTTTGCAAAAATGCCAAAACGGAGACCGAGCTCCATGGAGGCCTTTATTTGAAAACTTCAAAATTTGAACTTTTCAATTTCAAAAAATTCTATAAATGAATACACATATACCTACATACATAATATACATGTATGTAATTTTTCAGATGGAAATACATTAAAATGTGAGCTACACAAAAAAGACAAATCTGGGGCTTTTAGCATATGTATTGTTCATCTTCAAAGTCCATGGTTTTTTTTGTGCAACTCGCAATTCAAGGTATTTCATCCTGAATTTTTTTCACACATGCACTTTACATCCTTGCATGCATGTGTATCTTTTTTCTGATTTTTCTAAACTGAAATTTATGATTTTTTTATTTTTCTAAATAAAGGGCTCCATGGAGGTCGGTCTCCAAAATGCCCTACTCTTTATTCTGTTGCTATTAAATACTTTATACGTCTGTATTTTGTGTAATTGATTGATTGGGTTTTCTTTTGTGGTTTCATATGATGAGTTTGTCAAGATCGGGATTAAGTATAGGCATGTGGTATTAGATATCACCTGCTATTAAATCACATTCATGGATCAAATGTAGTGATATTAATTCATTTCTTAATACTTCATCAATTTGGCAAATGTCGGAAATAATTGAAGGTTGCACATATGTCCGCATATAACAATTACGACACAAATATACTATTAGAGATGTGTTCTCCGAAGGACAGAGGGCATCTTGATGCAAGATGGGAGGCTTAAGAAGATTACACGTGCGTTGCACGTGCGAACTTACTAGTGAGTTGCAAGTTACACAAAGCATTACCATCAAATTCGTATGTGAAAGGAGCTTTCAATGATATAATTTTCACATTATACATCTCATGTACTATTAATCTTATCAATAGTCAAAAGCGGTCTTGAAAAACGCATTAGGCCTTATATAGATGTAAGGAGGGAGTATGTGTCTGCAAAGATTGCACAACCTCCAAACTAAAGGAATAGATTGGGTTCAGAGATATAATATACTCCCTTTGTCTAAAGATGTAAGACGTTTTTTGATACTATTATGATATTGTGAGCAAGAGTGTCTAAAAAAGTCTTACATTTTGAGAAAGAGGGGGTAGCTCACAAGTTTTTGTTGATGGCGATGGCGATGGCGATGGTGCCTATTGTTAATATAAGCAAGAAAATTGATATCTTTACCTAATAATAAAATAAATTGAGTTTCTTTTGTCCGTCATGGCATTTTTCAAAAAAGTCACTCCATTTCAGAGAATTCAACCCGCAGTCCTGTTTTAAGTTAAAACGAATCATTATTTTTGTATTTTATACAGAAGTCTCTGTCTTTTCTTGAAATCAACCCGCCATCCGGATTTAAGTCACACTCGAACCGTTATTTTACATTTTTCGAAACCCCCCTGATGTTTTAGGTAATTCATCCGCGGATCATATTTAAGTTAAATAAATGTTTTTTAAAATCATCCATATTTTTTAAACCCTAACTCCGACTTGAACATGTTATATATGAAATTTGATTAGAAAAATATGTAGAATATGAATATGAGATTATTTTTACCTGCTAAGTATTTTTAAATATTATTTTGGAATATATTTGAGTCAAACCAAATGATTTTCTAAATTATCTGTATCTTTTAAACCGTAACTTCGATTTTAACATATTATATATGAAATTTTATTAGAAAAATGTGTGGAATCTAAATATGATGTTAATTTTACCTGTTAAATATTTTTAAAATATTGTTATGAAAGCAAACTTATAATTTATAGCGCAAGATTTGTTTTTTTTCTCATACCGGCGGCGATCCGGATTGCAAATAAACACCGCACTATAACCATATACGGAAATGAAAACATCGATAACTACACATGCATACCTCTGAAAAATGTCACAGGGGAAAACAACAGATTTCTCATCGCGAGAGTGAGAGAAAGTGAGAGAGAGAGAGGGAGATGGAGGAGAGAGGGAGAGAGAGACGTCTTAGGATTAACCATATTCAACACACATTTTTTGTTGTTTTGTGTGAACACCGAGGTCATCACCGGCGAGGATGAGGAGGATAAGCGACAACACATATATGACGCCTCGCAAAAATAAAGGAGATGGACCTATTGTGATCTTGAGTGATGGTTGTTGAGTTAAGAGCGTGTGTTATGTTTTCTCTCCCGTTGCAACGCACGGACTCTTTTGCTAGTAATTTATAAACATAATTCGGCCTGCCATTTTGTTAACCTCTTAAAGAAGATGACATACATGTTGTCCCCTTTTAATGCAGATGAAATAAGAAATGTTGACTATCGTGCATTTGTTTGGATGGGAGCGCATTATTCAGCTTGCCAAGGTTATATCGGTGGCTGCAATTCACTTTCATGCTAGTAATTCGGTGACAAGCAGCCAAAACTTTGGCCAATGATTTGGCGGGCTAGCAGGGCCGAATCCAAACAGCTCCATACACACCCACAGTCACCCGTTGTTGTTGATTCCTTCACAAACAAATAATCGGTGGTGAATATACCCATCGCCCCCATGAAAATCTTTGTCATTTTTCTAACGAAAACATCCTAGAAGCCCACCATTGAGACTCCTCGAGCAACAAGACGACGCCTTCAAAAAAAAACGACGCTATGACGTCGTCGCCGCCTGGTCCGGTGGACGGACCAAAGGTTTCCCTTAAGCCCGAGGAAGGGAGCCAGATCAGGGCCAAAACAACGCCTCCAGGGAAGGAACGGTGCCCACGAGCGTCACTATCGTCGGCCTCTTCGAAGCATGGATTTCTCCTGACCAAGATCATGGAACCCAACACCCATCGGAGTTGCGCGAGCGGGTCAACCACCGCACCAGGAAGAGTAGCAGTTCGCATCACAGTAGCCTCCATCACCAAGCCGGCCAGATCCGCTCGGATTGGATCAAGCCCCCACCACCTCCACCTCGCCGGAGGACGATAGCACGCACTAGGCACGCTAGGGCAGAGCCAGAGCTATCCACGCCGGACCTGGTGGCGCCGACGCCCTGCCTTCCATGCCGACCCACTTCCACCTCACCACATCCACCTCCAACCACCACGCGGACTGGAACATGCCGCTCGAGACAGGCCAAGGCGCCACCAGCACGCGTCCGGAGCAGGGGGAAGCCAGGCACCGCGCCACGGCCAGGGGCAGCATCGACGCGCCCCGCGCAGAATCTGATGCCGGATCCAGCAGCCCAGATTAGGCCCTCTCCATGCCGCCGTGCGGCCACCACCCAGCGCCGGCCCAGCCACCGAGAAGGGCGCCTCCCCGTGAGCCGTCTGACGCCGGACCGCCACACCGCTGCGCACAACCGGATCCACCAACCGCCGCGAGATCCGCCCACGTCCACCGGGAGAATCGAAAGGAAAGGAAACGCCCCACCGCCACCCTCCTAGGGCACGCACGGCTTCGCCGGCGCACCCTCCGGTGGTGGCGCGGCGAGGGAGGAGGTGGAAGTAGTCCCGGCGACGCGGCTAGGGTTTTCCCCCGTGTTGCCAGAGGAGGGCAACGCATGTTGTCCCCTTTTAATGTGGATGTAATAAGAAATGTTGACTATTGTGCATTTGTTTTGGTGGTTGCAATTCACTTTCATGCCAATTTGGCGACAAGCAGCCAAAACGTTGGCCGACTATTTGGCATGCCAAAGATTTGGTGGGCTAGCAGGGGCCGAATCTAAATAGCTCCATACATACCCACAGTCATCCGTTGTCGATTCCTTCAGACAAATGATCCGTGGTTAAATTTACCCATCGTCCCCACGAAACTCTTTGTTAATTTTCTAAGAAAAAACATCTTAGAAGATAAAAGCATTTGGAAATAACCCCCATGACATTTTGTCATTGTTAACTTGCGTATATATATAATTAGTAGGGAGAAAATGACGGGCACTACAATCGTGCAAGCTTGATGGGCACATAAACGAACATGGACACGGACACAACCACGTCCCAATCATCACTTGCAGCCTCTCCACCATTGACTCGTGACTTGTGAACCGCCTCAAATCCTCGTCCATCCCTGCTGTTCTAATTCCCATCAATCCCGTTGATTTTTGTTCTAAAAGAACACGAACATGATTTAAATTTGAACCGAACTATTTGAATTTCAAACTTCCGAAACCCGACTACTCTCTCTATCACGTGGCAACCATGGGGCCAGCTGGAACGACTCACCGCGCCGGAAGAAACGTATAAAAATCCCTTCTTTCCGCCTCGGCTCCCCCGCGTGACATGATCCATTATTCATGGCGCACGCCACCGTCCATGGCGCGCCCATGACACGCCCGTGCCCGCGTCCGTCAGCCCCCCTGATCGTCTTCCTCGTCCTGCTCGCTTCCTGCTACCTCGCCCTCACGCGCCTCCCCTCCGCGGCCCCGCTAGCCGCCCTGATCGCCCCCTCCGCGGGCCATGGCTCCGGCCACGGCGCTGTCGACAGCTGTGCCGGGTTCTACCGCGGCGCCGGCGCGGCGGGGAGGCGCGCGGTAACAGCCTCGGTGGAGGAGTTCGGGGCCGTGGGCGATGGGGTCACGTCCAACACGGCGGCGTTCCGGCGTGCCGTGGCTGCGCTGGAGGAGAGGGGTGCTGGCGGCGGCGCCAGGCTGGAGGTGCCGGCAGGGAGGTGGCTCACGGGGAGCTTCAACCTCACCAGCCGCTTCACGCTCTTCCTGCACCATGGCGCGGTCATCCTCGGCTCCCAGGTACGTGATCGATCCATTGATCCATGCCCGCTAGTTCCTCTTCCTCTGATCTTGTTCTTGTTTCATTTTATTAATTCCCATTTATTTCTCCTCTCAAATCTTGCCACAAATCAATAGTGCACGCTACAGAGTGAACGGAGTAGTATTTTTTAGCATCGGAACTCAACCATACACACATCTACAAAATGCAAATTTATTTTCTGCTGGTAAGAACAATCATGGTGATCATGCCTACAATTTCTTTTACTTTTTTTTCTGCACATAGCTAAGCTTCCCAGTAGTACAGAAACGAGAATCTCAATCCATGTTCATGTTTGATTGGAGGCTTGCTTCAACGCTTGTGCTGTCAATGGTCACTGACCAATGAAAAAAAGAAAGGGGGAAGATGCTGTTGTGGGTTGGAATCCTGCACATGCTCGCAACGGTTGTTGGTTTCTTCCTGTGACTTCTGCAGCTTTGCCACATGTTATTGTTCTAACCACAACACACTGTGTGTGCCTTTGCTTTGCCCTTACTTCTGCTTGGACTGGCCTGGCTTGATGCTATACTATTCTACTACTGTACTTTGCTTGTAGTGTCGTCTCATCTGCTCCATATTTGCTAGCACCAAATGGTTACACAAATCTCTAGTTTGGAGCTTTCTGCACTAGCTAGTAGTACTACCCATTTTTGGTACATGCAAATGCAGTGGGCATACTAATTTCTAGGATTAATTTACTACTGGTATGTATGGAGAGTTTATGTGAGATGAACTTGCTGAAGAGATTCCCCCATATCAGGATACTGTCTACTAGTGCTTTCATGTGAGTGGCGGCTTTGTAGTGCAAAGTTGTTGGGAAAGAAAGCATGATTAAGAGCGTTAGCTAGGAGTTTGACATTGCTGCCATATGCACTGGCAATCCACCACCTTAATATTCTATAGGACAATCATGGCCTGGTTTTCAAGGCCAACATGGCAACAGGTGAGATTATCTTTAAGGGGACCAATCCCCAGACTGTCGAATTAATATATCATGCCACTTCCTATTTAAGTAGTCGAAGAATCTGTACTAGTACTGCATAAAGTTGATTGTGTAAATTTATTTAAGAAGCGCATAGTGTTGATTGTAGCGGTGAACTGTGATGTGCAGGATCCAGAAGAGTGGCCTCTCATTGCACCTTTGCCTTCTTACGGGCGCGGAAGGGAAAGATTAGGACCGCGCCACATTAGCCTCATACATGGGCAAGATCTAAATGATGTTGTTATTACTGGTACAGCAACTGTTTAACAGTCTCTACTTTCAAATTTGGTCAAGTAAATATGAATTGTTCATGCAAACCAGAGAGCTGAAGTAACTCCCTGTAACAGCCGATTTAAGCACAAATTTCAGTTTGTGGGGCATACTTGTCGAGAAAACAGTTTGGGGTATACTTGTCGGGAAATAATTTGTAGGGTATATCATGTGAAGAATTAGTTTTGACTGTACTTGCAAATTGTTCTGCTTTTCCATGTCAGGTAGCAATGGGACCATTGATGGCCAAGGCCGGATGTGGTGGGAGCTATGGTGGAACCGGACTTTGAACCACACAAGAGGTCATCTCATCGAGCTCGTGAATTCAACCAACGTCCTGATCTCCAATGTCACCCTACGCAACTCCCCATTTTGGACAGTGCATCCGGTCTATTGCAGGTTAGTTCATCATGCTGATACAGTGGATTATCACTTTGTTTCCTAGTAGAGAACCATCCTCATTTGTCTTTCTTCTAAAACCATAAGCTGACAACGGAAATTTAATGTTCAGAAACGTGGTGATAAAGGATTTGACTATACTAGCTCCCCTGAATGCTCCAAACACTGATGGCATTGATCCAGGTTTGTGCTCTTAAATTGACAGATTGTTCTCCCTCAAAACTGCAACTCTTGCCAATGCTAATTCCGAACATGGCCCGTCACTGATTTGGGTATGAATAGCAGGCCTATATCGTTTTCTTTCAAGTAAATATTTAGTTAATTATAAAATTGGAATTACAGGTAGTTTCGTTTGTACTTCATATGTGACTCCTTGGGGATTATGATCTTTTCTGTACTAAATACAAAATGGCTTTGCAAAGAGCAAATTAATCCATGACAGTTTCTCTTTCTGAACAATACCAGACTCAAGTTCAGAAGTTTGTATCGAGGACTGCTATATCGAAAGTGGAGATGACCTGGTTGCTGTCAAGAGTGGTTGGGATCAGTATGGGATATCTGTAGGCAAACCCAGCTCAAACATTATCATCCAGCGGGTTTCAGGCACCACACCTACGTGCTCCGGTGTGGGTTTCGGAAGTGAGATGTCGGGTGGGATATCAAACGTGCTTGTCCGCGACCTGCACATATGGAACTCTGCTTCCGCGGTGAGGCTAAAGACCGATGTGGGGCGTGGCGGGTACATAACCAACATCACCATCGCCAATGTGACGATGGAGAAGGTCAAGGTGCCAATAAGGTTCAGCCGGGGTTCAGATGACCACTCGGACGACAAGTATGACCGAACAGCGCTACCGATGATCAGTGACATTCATATTGTTGACATTGTTGGTGTGGATGTGCAGCGCGCACCGATGCTGGAGGCGGTGCACGGCGCGGTTTACGAGGGGATATGCTTCAGAAACGTTAGCCTGACAGCGATAAGGCGTCAGATACGGTGGCAATGCGAATCTGTGTACGGAGAGGCGCATGAAGTTTTCCCTGCACCTTGTGAAGAATTGAGGAATAATGGATCTTCTTCTTCTTGGTGTGGCCTTCCCTGAGCAACTATACAGAACTTGTAAGTTTTTTATGGGTGAAATGGGGTGTCTATACTTGTGTTTAGAGAAGGACAAGGATAGAACTTACAGGCAGATTCAACACTGAAAACTTGTATTCTTTGTTTTGTAAAACGTCTAGAGGGCACAAAGGTCTTTCTGTATGTTTATCCACTGCAGATGGGCACAGGTAATTTACTGATCGAATATACTAGAAGGCAATTATCCTTTCTCCCCAATGTGTCGCCCGACGTGTCTCCCATTCTTATGTCATCCCTACATATTGAAACATATTAGATTTGTTCTAAATAAAACTTTGTGAAGTTTGACCAACTATATAGAAAAATTATATGAACACGCAAACTACCAAATATATATCTATGAAAATAAATTTCATGATGAACCTGGCGGTATTGATATGGTATTGTAAATGCTGATGAATTTTTTTGGTAAACTTGGTCAAAGTTTACAAAGTTTAACTTGAACAGAAAACTAATTTGCACTACATTTTGGCATGGAGGTAGTAGCAATGTAAACCTGATCATATCCCGGGCCGAGCCCGAAGTGAAAATCCCGAGCCTGGCCCAAAACATGTTTAGTGGCGAAGCCTCCACTATTTGGAGCTCTCGGTTGCTCAAAAAAAAATTTTTGGAGCTCTCGACGTCCAGATAAAGGGAGGATGGGGTGGAGGGGGACTGGCATCTCTCCATTATATCGGGGCGGGGGAGGTCGCATATCGATGTGGGATGGACCTGTTGCCTGATCTGGCTGGCGCGGCGGCGCCGGCGAGCTCAAGGAAGAGATGTTTCTTCTGATTTTTTTACCCGAAACCTCCAAAAGGTGGTGGTTTATGTATGAAATGCTGAGCATTCTAGAACTGATACTGGTCGAGAGGAGTCTGACTTGCGTATACGCTGATACTTCCTTTTGCGATTCTAGTTAAAACTTAGTCATGCTCATGAGGGGATAGTTCAGGTTTGATGTATATATGTTGATGCTTCCACAGTTCAGGTTTGATGTATTTTCCCTTGGACGGTGAACCGAACAAGCCAAAAGCCCTGCGTGGGATCGGTTCTGCACAAATTGCTCCATGCATTGCATGCCCATGACCGAAGAAAATTACATGAGGAAGTATTGTCACAATTTTTGTTTCTGAGGCACTCAACAAATGGTTGGATGTTAACAGCATGGAGGCCTAGCGTCTTATTTCTTTTCAAGTCTAAAGCTATGTCATTCGACAGCTTTCATGGCCAACCTCTAGCATAAATTCAGAGAACACCAGACTCAGGGGCACACATTCTGATAGGAGGAATGAACCGGCTGACTGGAGCATAGGTGTATTAGGGCGTAGTGTGGCGTTGTTATCATTTCTCCTTTGTGACCGCTATCCTAGGATAGGCGATGCCCCTCCCCCTTGTATCATTCGGCTGTGTACTTTGTTCGGTTGTTTTTTTATAAGCCTGTTTCGAGGACATTTGATGTACGGAGTTCAATTTTCCTTGCCGAAAAAAAAGTAATGACATGCATTGAGCTCATACACATTAGAACATAGGAAGGCAATACATTAACTGAATCGCAGTATGAGTGTACACATTACTAGTAAAACATAGAAAGGCAACCGTCCCAACCAAGTGGAAGTTAAAGGTCTGTCTAGGCCATGTGACATCTAAGTATGACATCAACGCCACCTCATCCTAGCATAAACCCACCCCTCTTGTTTTTTGTTTGTTTGTTTGTTATTTTTTTTTGGTTTGAAACAATTCTGTTTCTGCCTGGCACATATACGCGATGGAGTACAGGAGTAGTACGTGTGTGTGTGTGGCTGCCTCGCTGGCGCCCCGCTGCTCACGATAACAGCACGCGTTGTGCTGCCGCCTTTTTTTCGCATGGTACGCATTGTACTGTCTCTGCTTCACTTCATGCACGCATTGTGCTACAGTTTTTTTGTGTGCATGATACGCATTATGTTGCCGCTGCTTGACATGTATACCTTGAAGAATCACACATGTGTGTATCAGTGTACGTATGTACTCCCTCCGTTTCAAAATAGATGACCCAACTTTATACTAACTTTAGTATAAAGTTGGGTCATCTATTTTAGAACGGAGGGAGTATGTACGTACACGGGCGGGCGGCAATGCATGTCTCTCCCAGGCTGGGCATGCGAGGGTCATGTGAGTGGAAACTTATAAAAATGTCCATGAAACTTAAAAATTCCCATATAACTAAAACAACTTGTAAATTTACAAACTTGAAAATGAGAACATCTATTAAAATTCTGAACAACTTTTGAAAACCTCAATATTTTCTAAAATCTAGATTTCTTTTGAATTGATGAATGCAACTTTTGAAAAACACGAACATTTTTTTGAATTGGTGCACACAATTTTTGAAAAATGCTATCATTTTTACAAAATTCCAAAACAAATTTTGAAAAACGCAAACATTTGTTGCATTGGTGAACAAACTAGCCTTATCTACAAAAGGATATGCCTCAAAAAGGATGTGTTTTATTTGTATACAACTATGAGATTTCAACGAAAGATGGGGAACTAACTCAATGGGCTGGAACTAAAGATCATATAGATGGTGGTTTTTTCAAAAGAAAATACACATGAAAACTTGGTTCCCTCTCACTCGGTTGCATGTCTTAAAAAAGGGTCGAAAATGGGCTTACAAGTGGGACATTTGAAAAAAATGGTTTGGGTGGAAAAAATAAAAATGAAACAATATTGAGCAGCTAAATAGGGAGAACAAAGAAAAAAAATAAAATATTAACTGTCAAGGTGAGGGCTCACATTTTGCGTATTGAAGATGGAATTGTACCTTGTATAAAAAATCAGTCACTCACCCTAGTTGCAAGTAGATGTGAACTTGTAACTGTGAAAAAAAATTAGGAGCCCAATTTTAAGTCAATGGTGGACTTGCAATTGGGGCGAAGAATAAAAAAAAAGGTCTACAAGCCGAAGGTGGACTAGCAAAGTAGGACGGAAACAAACTACGAGACGAGTTGCTGGTCGAGGCTGGACTTGCAAATGGGACAACTACACAAAACTACGAGACAAGTTGCGAGTCACTTGTATACTTGCAACTGACAACTATTGTTGGGAAACGTAATAATTTCAAAAAAAATCCTACGCACACGCAAGATCATGGTGATGCGTAGCAACGAGAGGGGGGAGTATCGTCTACATACCCTTGTAGACCGTAAGCGGAAGCGTTATGAGAACGCGGTTGATGTAGTCGTACGTCTTCATGATCCGACCGATCCAAGTACCGAACGTACGGCACCTCCGAGTTCAGCACACGTTCAGCTCGGTGACGTCCCACGAACTCTGATCCAACAGAGCTTCGAGGGAGAGTTCCGTTAGCACGACGGCGTGATGACGGTGATGATGATGCTACCGACGCAGGGCTTCGCCTAAGCACCACTACGATATAACCGAGGTGGATTATGGTGGAGGGGGGCACCGCACACGACTTGGAACAATCAACTTGTGTGTCCTAGGGTGCCCCCTGCCCCCGTATATAAAAGAGCAAGAGGAAGGGGCCAGCGGCCTCATAGGGTGCGCCCCAAGGGGGGAATCCTACTCTTACTAGGAGTAGGTTCCCTCTTTCCTAGTCCAACTAGGAGGGGAAGGAAAGAGGAGGAGAGGAGAAGGAAAGAGGGGGCCGGCCCCAAAGCCCTAAACCAATGCGGTTTGGGCCTAGGGAGGGCGCACCCCACACTTCCTTGCTGCCCTCTATTTCCACTAAAGCCCACGAAGGCCCATTGACCCTCCCGGTGAATTCCCGTAACTCTCCGGTACTCCGAAAAATACCCGAATCACTCGGAACATTTCCGATGTCCGAATATAGTCATCCAATATATCGATCTTTACGTCTCGACCATTTCGAGACTCCTCGTCATGTCCCCAATCTCATTAGGGACTACGAACTACCTTCGGTACATCAAAACACATAAACTCATAATACCGATCGTTAAGCGTGCGGACCCTACGGGTTCGAGAACTATATAGACATGACTGAGACTCGTCTCCGGTCAATAACCAATAGCGGAACCTGGATGCTCATATTGGCTCCTACATATTCTACGAAGATCTTTATCGGTCAAACCGCATAACAACATACGTTGGTCCCTTTGTCATCGGTATGTTACTTGCCCGAGATTCGATCGTCGGTATCCTCATACCTAGTTCAATCTCGTTATCGGCCAGTCTCTTTACTCGTTCCATAATGCATCATCCCGTAACTAACTCATTAGTCACAATGCTTGCAAGGCTTATAGTGATGTGCATTACCGAGAGGGCCCAAAGATACTTCTCCGACAATCGGAGTGACAAATCCTAATCTCGATCTATGCCAACTCAACAAGTACCATCGGAGACACCTGTAGAGCATCTTTATAATCACCCAGTTACGTTGTGATGTTTGGTAGCACACAAAGTGTTCCTCCGGTACTCGGGAGTTGCATAATCTCATAGTCATAGTAACATGTATAAGTCATGAAGAAAGCAGTAGCAACAAACTAAACGATCATTGTGCTAAGCTAACGGAATGGGTCAAGTCAATCACATCATTCTCTAATGATGTGATCCCGTTAATCAAATGACAACTCATGTCTATGGCTAGGAAACTTAACCATCTTTGATTCAATGAGCTAGTCAAGTAGAGGCATACTAGTGACACTTTGTTTGTCTATGTGTTCATACATGTACTAAGTTTCTGGTTAATACAATTCTAGCATGAATAATAAATATTTATCATGATATAAGGAAATAAATAATAACTTTATTATTGCCTCTAGGGCATATTTCCTTCAGTCTCCCACTAGCACTAGAGTCAATAATCTAGTTCACATCTTTATGTGATTAGTTCACATCTCCATGTGACTATGACTAATACCCAAAGGGTTTACTAGAGTCAATAATCTAGTTCACATCACTATGTGATTAACACCCAAAGAGTGATCATGTTTTGCTTGTGAGAGAAGTTTAGCCTACGGG